AACGGATGACATAATTGGACAGAACGATCTGAGCCAATCACAGCTATGGTTATAAATCTTTAATTGAAGTTACACCACCGAAGAGAAATACACAATGGCGCCCTCTTCCTATAAAAGAAGAACGAACGAGGTTCCTGTCAGTTCTCAGTTGTTTCCATTAGGTGCAAAAGATATACAGTTTATAGACAACGGTTAAGTAGTGAAACACTATACTTTTATGGAGTGGAAACGTGGAAAATCTGCAGTTCGCACTGGTACATGTAGAACACATCGCTCTCGCTTCGCTCAATCCAGAGGAAACAGATCGGAGGGACTTCTGATTCATTTGTCAGATGTCCATTGTTCCAGTAAAGGAGATAAAGACGAAAAAGAGGCCGTTACCTACTCGTTAGGCAAGCAAAATCGCTGGCTTCTTCCTGAGGTAATCAAGGCAAGCTCCGTTGGATTCGAAGATCGAGAAGAAGTCGTTTTAGTTGAACGGCATGCAAGAAACAAGCGTGGCAAGGCAGACTGCGTCTCTGTTTTCAATTCAAAGAACGGCACCTTTCGTAAACCCAAGCGTAAGTTTGCGCGGGCTGAAGATCTTCTTGGAGATAGTAAAGAGATGAAAACACACTACGAGGTGGTCTACCCGCATCCCTCGGGATCAAGAGGAAAATGTACTAAGAGACCCGGAAGTCACCTTGGGAAAAGAAAGGAAAATTCTTGCACCAGCTCAATCCTTGACGATGATCATGATGACATGAGTGAAATGGAGTACTCAGACGTTGAAGAAGAGGATAATTTTAGTGGGCAGATTATAGACAACTCACACACCCTTGATTTAGAAGCATTGATAATTTCATCACCTAAAACCTCATCAGAAGCTTATGCTGGTCGTCATGGAAACAGTACTTCACAGAACATGGCTCAGAAACAGCTCAAACAGAATCAGCTGCAAGGGAAATGCATCTATGTGGAAGGTGATAAGGAAATGGAAGAAACACATGTGGAGCTCTTAGCTCAAATCAAGGCAGGTTGGTCGCTTCTAGATGCCAGAGATGAGATTAAAAACAATCAGTCAATCAATCAATCACCAAAGCTAAAAGTACAGAAACGTCAAGCGAGAAATCAGAATCACAAATCTGCCAACAAGTCCATGCCACTGGGCAATACCTGTCCTTTTCAAGAAAAACCTGCCAATCCTACAGCTGGTTGCGAGGGCATTGTCATTACATTGAGAAGACAGGAAATCATGCCAGCAGCCCTGGAACAACAATGGTTCAATAAGTACAAGGAGGG